CTTATATTTTTTCATTCCAACACTCTGAGCACAATATAATCTTTTAAAATATTATTTATTTTTATTATCTGTACATAAGGTTTCAATTCAACAGGTCAATTGATAGTAACATCCATCTTGTTTATTACCACCCTTTCTATTATTCTTCCTTCTGCATCTATATCAACTCTGCCCATCCACTGGTTACCTAGTTCCATTTTCCTATATGTACATTGAGTATTATGACTATATTTGCCTACCTTTACTCATTTGTCCATATACCTCACCTTAATTCCTCCTTCCCAATAATATAATCTTTTCAAAGAGTTGATCGTGGTTTGGTTTATATGGTTCTATTTTGATAGAAGTTAGGAAATGTCAGAGATGCTTCCAATTACTTAGCAATAGATCTATCAATTCCAAAGGCTGGCTTTTCTTTCTTTTTTTTAAGCCTACAGATTGTGAGAGCGCATTTAGTTGGGAATTCATCAGGAAAGAAAACAGAATGACCACAGGTTATGATATTCTTTGTAGTTTAAGACATTGTTTTCCTTTTTATTTTAGTTTTTGGATTTGCATAAAAGAATTGCATGTAGAACGAACATTTGAAAATACCCGATCCATACAAAATGGTTTGGTGAATTCTCTCCATGGGAATAAATTCATCTCTGAGATTATATTTAAGACGAAGCCAGGAAACCACAAAAAGGCCCCGCTGGGATTCGAACCCAGGATCTCCTGTTTACTAGACAGGCGCTTTAACCAGCTAAGCCACGGAGCCAGCACGCTCCCTGCTTTTCAAATCAACACAGAAAAGGAATGATCTTTGCTTTTGTTGTGAGCACTTACTATCTTGTTACTGAAGAGCAGAGCAGATGTTTCCCTAAATGCTAAAGATGTACTCAGTTTGGCCTCCCTCCCTTAGACTTGGGAGACGGTTCCCACGTGTAGGCACACTGAGTCCGCTCCGAGTGGGCTAGGAGAAGCACGCGCTTCGGTCTGAAACTCCGAGTTGAGCGGAGAAATTGCCCCGAAGGGCCTGAGTTCTGCAGGTCACGTTTAGGTAAGTAAAGACTGACCTGGAGCTTCCGGGGAGGTGGAAGTAGGAGGTGGGCGTGGGTGTGAGTGTGTGGGCGAGAAGAGGTCGTCACCTTTTTATAAGAACACTCCCATTTGTATCGGAAAACTCCCCGCATGGAACACCGATCCCTGCAAGAAGCAAGCTGTTCCTTATGTGACTTGTAAATCACACTGGATTTAAATATTCCGACCATTCCTTACCCCAGTTGGGTTTCATCTACCTGGTTTTGCTTCTAAGACTAAGATGAATGGAATTCTAGAGTCTTGTTTTAAGAATACTTCACAATTAACATTGTTAATTACATCACAACTATAAAGGGACAGAGGGCTTCTTGTCCTGATGCTTGCTCAAAGATCTGATTTGATGTCAAGTTGAGAACATTCTCTAGAATTTCTAAATTATCAAGGGGGCTTATGGGATTATTTGTATTTGTTCCCAATTTATTCAGGTCTCTATTAAATTAGTTATTAGGATGTAATTTTAACAAAGAATTTAGTGAAACTTTTTTCACAAGCTTTTCCCAAGTGAAATTTCAATGAGATTAACTGTTTGACTTGAGGCCTGTAATATTAGTAATGTATTAGTAGGTAGTATTATTATAAACAGCATAGTCACACCTAATATAACTTTCACCCAATAGTGGCATATATCAAACAACAGAACTAATATTTGGGTTCATTCTTCATTTCACTAGCTGCTGACATGTTTGCACAGAATTTCCAAGAATCAAAGGAATTGTTTAGCCAGATATAAGTCTTGGAGATAATTGAATCCTACACGTAATTTTGAATGTGAATCCTATTTTCTATTCAGTTTCCACTATGACCAGAAAGGACCATGGAAATATTATATTGGCTCCGTCCCACACATCTGAATTTGGAGATCTGGGTCCTGTACTGCTGATAGTAACGTGGGAGTGGCAGAGAGTTTTTACATGGGAGCAAAACTTAAAAAACAAAAGCAAGCAAGCAACATCAGTAACAACAACAACAAAAACCCAATGCACTGCAGGAAAGGAATCCATTATTTTCATAGTTTTGTATATCAGAGTGACTAGACTGTAGTACATGATTATTCAATTAAACACTAATCTAGTCAGGTGTAGTAGTGCAGCTGCTCAAGAGATTGACTCAACACAAGTTTCAGGCCTGCTAATCCTATAAACCAATTTCAATTACGTAAATACTTGTGTAGAAGGACTCACAGGCTGAGCACTGGTGACTCACTCAGGAGGTTGAGATATGAGGATCGCCCAACCAGAGCAGGAAAGTCAGTGAAACTCATCTCCAATTAACCACCAGAAAACCCGAAAGTAGAGGGCGATCCTTCAGCCAAAGAGCTTAGGGACAGTGCCCAGGCTCTGAGTTTAGGCCCAACAACCAACAAGGGGGGAAAAGGAAGGAAGGAAGGAAGGAAAGAAGGAAGGAAGGAAGGAAGCAAGGAAGGAAGGAAGCAAGGAAGGAAGGAAGGATTCACAGAATAAGATGGTATTGATCAAGATTTTTTATACTTAGAACCTGACTTATGGAATTGTACAACTACTTAATAACACTAACTTAAGAAAAACATATCTTATTGTGAACATGGTTGCAAAATTTAAGTCAGCCTTCAAAATATGCAAAATAACGAGGATTTTTTTTAAATTTAAACACTGAGGACAGCAAATGTGGACAGTGTTAAAAGCAGAATAGGACCTGTGACTTTAGAGATGCCTTCCTCATCCTGCTATGCAATGAGGAGATAATAGGCCCAGGAATTACCTCAAATTTGCTTCATTTCTGAAACTTCAAGCACAAGCTCCCTTTTCAGAATAGAAATCTCCTTTTTGTTTTTAATAGGTAGAGATTAATCTGCTAAGCTAATGGCAAGATACATATCTGACTAACTTATTCCTATAATTTTGTGTTCTCTTCCTTTGTGAATGCCAGCATCAAAGCACAACAGTATTTCAGCCCTCAGGAGTATCACTACTGGAAATCATAAACATTTTCACACTAACATATAATTGTTACCAACTTCTTAAAATGTCAATTATGGTATTACTAACTTAAAATCTATATTTATTAGAGGAGACTATATATCTAGTACATTAATAAAGGAGCCCAAATATCACAGAAATATTCAGTAATATATTTCAATGTAATTAGTTTCTATCTGAAATCATAGATAGATAAATAAAATAGATGATAGACTAGCAGATAGTTAATTTTTTTCTTTGTATTTAAAAGTGTTATACTGAGATGGCATCCATAATCACCAAACTGCCATAGAGCTCCATGGTATAAAACCTGGTTAGAAGACCCCTATTTTATTATCTGAGGAGGAATGAGCTCTACCTCAATGCTTATGCACTTTTTTAAGGGAGAGGGGAAAGGGTTGTTGAAACTATGAACCCAAAGCAAATATTGTTCTAATATTAACGTGTATGCTCTCTGCATCAGTTTTGCCCTTAAGTTATTTCCAATGCTTACCAGGCACAGAGATAATGCCTCTTCAGAAACACCGACTGGAATATGCACATTTGACAAACATTTTTGTTTGAAAGAATTCGTGTGTGTGTATGTGTGAAAATTGACTATGCTGTTTTTAAAGCTATCAGACAAAGGTCCTGTGATAAGGAAGATCAGGCAACGATAGTTCCTAGCCAAGTCTTGCTTAGTAAACTTTGGGAGGATTTAACAAAATACAGAGATACAAGGAAAAAAGTAAGATCAAACCACTCTGACGACTTCCAATTTCCTAAACCTTTCCTTGTTTTATTATCTTTTCCTCCAAGTCTTTTCACGGCTGTTTTATTTATCTAGTGTCTTACAACCTGTTTCACCCACTGCCGTGTCGTTATTGTTGTTATTATTGTTGTTAGAGGACAAGCGTATCATCTCTTTGAGGTTTTATCTGCAGGGCTTTGAGCAGCGATTTTGGTGGAATTACTACAGGCATAAATGGAGAGGTGATCATGGAGCAGAGAGGATGCTAGTTTTGCCACTCAGTCCATTTTTGGCAGAAACAAGGCAAGAAATGAGTAAAGATAGCGTTTGTTGCAAACGTAGCTGGGAATCTACGAGCTTAGGCCAGGTGGGCTTGGTAGCTTGAAATTCCAAGGTCAGACAGTGCAGGTGTAGCTTGTTGATTTCTTATAACCTGACATCCGCCAGCAGGCCGTTCACGTGTGGGGCCAGTGGCGCAATGGATAACGCGTCTGACTACGGATCAGAAGATTCCAGGTTCGACTCCTGGCTGGCTCGGCACAAGCGGCCCTTTTGTTTCCCTCTAGATGCCACAGCAGTTTAATAGCGTAGGAAAATTCATACACGATCAAGTTTTAGCCCGAATTCTCAGAAACGTAAGTGCTGTGCTCTTTGGACCAGAGCGGGAATCATTACTTCTTGGTAGCGCAAGTTCTCTGTGCCACTATTCGATAAAGAAATGCGCGCTGTCTCCAAGTTGCTGGTCCATTTTGATTGAATAATAAAGTAAGCAAAGGGAAGACATGAAAATCTGGGCATTCAGATTAAGCGATCATAACAACGAAAGGTCTTTAGTTGCATTTCACTGAGCGATTTGTAGAACGAAGTAGTAAAGGCATTACAACGCTCTTCTCCGTAGTTGCTAATTTTAGAGACTGTTGAGGACGCATGAGCCTATAACAATACACACGTTAGCGGACAGAGGGAGTGTCTTGTTGCGTGAACTATGAGCTAGAGGAGGCCTTCTTCCAGCGGGTTTCCGTAGTGTAGTGGTTATCACGTTCGCCTCACACGCGAAAGGTCCCCGGTTCGAAACCGGGCGGAAACACAAGTTGCGGTCTCTTTTTTCCCCCCTCCTTATACTGAACTGTAATAAAACGGTAGGAATAATTTCCCTCCTCTTTCAGCGACACGTCGGCCTCGGCCTCCTGGGTGGCCGGCTCGAGGCCTCCGTGCCGAGGCAGCGGCGGCGTTTCGCGCGCGGAGAAGCGGCCTCGGCCGGGCTCGCTCGAGTGGCCCTGCGGGCCTCAGCCCCGGAAGAGCATCCTCGCTCGCCCTCGTCTTCCTGCCCGCCTGGCTGGGCCTCCGTGGCCTTTGCCATCTCCGCGATCCGTGAGGGCGCCGACCCACCTTGCCGAGGCGCAGGCGCGGCCTTACCAGTAGCTCGGATCCCTCGGCGCCCACGAGGCTCAGGTAGGCGTGGGGGGGGGTAGGGTGCTCTTGCACAAAAATCATTAAAAATGGGGGGGATCTGGAGCCGGGGCCCCGCCCTCGGTGAACCTGGACCCCTGCTGGGCCCCGGACCGCCCTTCCCTCCTTGGCCTCCGCCGGGCAGAGCAACCGCGGGATCCATCCTGAGCTCCGTGGTGAGTCTGTGCGCCAGGCAGAGGCCACAGGGCGGATCAGTCGATCCGGGGGGAGTGAGGAACCCTCCTGGCCGTCATAGGGCAGAGGAGGAGGAGGACAGGAAGAAATCTGAAAGGATCGAGCCCTCAAAGCTGTGACCTGGAAGAGGTCCTGGGGGGAGGACTGGGGGAGCCGAGCCTAGGCCCTGCAAACTGCTTTAGGAAGCCCCCCAGGAGACACTGACCGAAAGGGGCCTAAGTCTTATTTCATTTTGGTCTTCTGTTTTCCCATGAAAACAAACACATACATACATACACAAAGACAGACCCCCCCCCAAGTTAAAAATAGAACAACTGTGGATTCTGTGGCTTAACTTGCGCCTTGAGAAAAACCACTCAGGGATTTTGGGGTTTGAGAACACTCTGGTGTTGGCCCTGCGACCCCCGCCTTGACAGATGGCTGGCTCTCATCTTCATTGGATGAACAAACAACTGATGACAAAAATGCTTTGTTATGTCGTCATCTAACTGCCTCAGGTGTCAACTTAGAATTTCCTCGTAACTGATAAGAATGTGTGATGATTTTAGGACCATAAGCAAAAAAGGAGGGGGAAATTCTTATCTAATGAATTTTTAAAATTATCATTTTATCTTAAATTGGTATCTTGGATAGTCATTACTTTACCCTGCGTTATTAGTCTTTGTTGACATACCTTTTCTGAAAAATACACATTTGTTGTCCCGTTGGTTTTTTTCTTTTAAGATCATATCTTGGTTAACAAGACAATAAGTTTGGGGTTATACTCCTTAGCAGTTTTATTTAGTATATTTTCACTTGAACTCCTTTTGTGTCATCCAGAAATACAAATTAATGTGGTGGTCTGAAAGGGGACAAAAGTCCCAGAACCTAAAAATGTGTCAACAATGTATGTTTCCCAGTCTTTCTTTCTCTAATGGCAGTGGACAGGAGTACTTCAGCTAGGAAGCTGTGTGCTCCTAACCAGCAATTGCAGGTGGGTGACTGGGTACCTGTGGTTCACTCTTCAAAATCGATATGTATTTGTGCAAAGTACTGCGGCATTCCAATCCTTTTAGCCACCTTGCTCTTCTTCACCCATTTCTTAACTACCATACCTTCCCCAATCTTTCTCAACTCCATGAGAAGATTTCCTGATGTTTTAATGCTTCAGAAGAACAACAAATAAGCCCTGGAGATGATTGACTTTATGAGCCTCATTCTCCTGAAACATACTTATATCATGCATATGAATTTTAAAAAATTCATTTTCATTGTGTCATTTATTCTCTTCTTCCTAAGTTTGGCATTGATTAACGTCTTCCAGGTGTTTCCTCTAAGCTCAGAGCATTGTTTCCCTTATTAAGAGACTGGCAGGAAGAGGGTAGCATTCTGATATTGGAGTAGGATTGAGGATAGAATCCAAGATAAAACTACCTCCCCCATACCCAGTTCAGTAACCATCAAAGAGCATAAGGATGATGCTAAAATAAGCCTTGCAAGTGTAAAATAAGCCTTGCTGGAAAAAGAGTGAGTGAGTGTGTCAGATAAGATAGAATTAGTCCATAGTCTCTTGAGATAGACTTGAGAATACAAACTAGTATGTTCTCATGTCTTCCTGCCTCAACCTGAGAACAGAGTATAAGGGCAAGAAACTTTGAGATACTGAAGTTATTTTTCAAAGACATGGCAACAACTTTCCAGTTTTTAGGACTAACCAAAAATTTGTAACAATAATTCAAGGGAAAAATTCTGTTGACAGAGAAAAGTAAAAGTGAGTGAGAGTTTTAATCATGTATCATCACATTACATAGAGCTGGATATTTCTTGTGAAATTCTCCAATTGAACTCATGTTCTTTCTTTTTCTTCCTCTCTCCTCCCTTCCCCCTGTAAATGCTCCACTACTAAGTTACCCCCTCCTCAGCCACACACGCTCAGCTAGTCTGCTAATTTTTTTTTTTTTTGGGTCCAGTCGTGGGGCCTGAACTCTGGGCCTGGGCGCTGTTCCTCAGCTCTTCAGCTCAAGGCTAGTGCTCTACCACTTGAGCCACAGTGCCACTTCCAGCTTTTTTTTCTTTTTGCTTATGTGGTGCTGAGGAATCGAACCCAGGGCCTCATGCTTGCAAGGCATGCAGTCTACCGCTGAGCTACCTTCCCAGCCCTAGTCTGCTAATTTTTAATATGGAAAGGTATTTCTACCATCAGCAGCTACAGGGAAGAAGGAACATATTTGATTCCTGCCTCTGGGGCTATTAATCTATACTACAGACTATACATAATTTTTAGTACTTATATTCTTGAGTAAACACAACTTTTTTTCTGGGTAGTATATGGAGAGTACACCAGCTAGGTGACTCTCTACCCCCTCATCATATTCCTGAACTAATCCCCATGCCCTTTCTAACCCTGTAAAAATTGATCACTATTCCAAATTTTATATTTGTCTTTGGCTTCATTTTACCTTTATTAATTGTCTATAGTCTAAACTTGCCATAGTGTCACACTTATAAATGGATCTATCTTGTCATTCTTCTGCAATTTGCAATACTCAGCATCATGTTTGTATTTTGTATCCTTGTTTTTGCATGTAGCTGTAATCTGTTTCTGCTACTGAATAGTATTCTTTTCTATAAATATTGCTGAAATGTATTTATCCATTCCACTGAAAGACAGTTGGGTTGTTTCTAGTTGTTGTTTTTCTTTTTAAATTATAATATTGCTAGTTGTGTGCCGTGCCTCACATCTGTAATCTTAGGTACTCAGGGGAATGAGATTTAAGAATCACTGCTCACAGCCAGCAAGCTTAGACAGAAAAGGCTAAGAGACTCTTACTTCCAATTAACCAGGAAAAAAACAGAAGTAGAGCCATGGTTTAAGTGGTAGAGCAACAGCCTTGAGCAAAAAATCTAAATGATAGAGCCTCATCTCCAGTACTCATGTACACAGACACACATACACACACACACACACACACACACTACAATTATAATACTGCCTTAATTTTTAGAGGGGTCTCTCAGTAGGCATGGCTCCAATAAAATTGCTTTACATAATTTCACTGTTTCTAACGTGAATACACTAATTTGCACACCTATAGCCCCAGCAGCAGTGTGTATATGTTTTGATTGTTCTGCATCTGATGACCCCTTTATATTGTTAAACCAATAAATTTTCATGTCTGATGGAGGTGAAATGTATACCATTGCTTCAATGTCATTTCCCAACTACATGTTTTGTGTGTGTGTGTTCACCATTTATGCTTCTAAGAAAATACTTTTTGTCATCTTTTTTTTTTTTTTTAAGGTGCGAGACCAAGACTTGAACTTAGTATGTGAAGCTTTGACTCATTGGCTACCACTCTACCAACTGAGCCACGCCTCCAACCCCTTGTCACTTTTTCTTTAGGTTTCAAATTTAGTCTAATTGTTGTTTTTTTTTTGTTGTCTTTTCTTTCTTTGATACTAGGGATCAAACCCAGGATGCTGCACTTGTTAGGCAGGTGCTTTGCCACTGAGCTACATCCCAACCCTAATATATAAATATCTAATATATAATTATATGTCATATAACTATTTATTATATAATATTATATAATATATATGTATATTTTTAATTTTTTATGTTACTGGAGTTTGAATTTGGCTTCACACTTGCTAGGCATGCTTTCTACTGCAAAACTATGCCTCCACCTTCTAATTTGACTTTTAATGTTAAATTTGACCACAATTTCCCTTTATGGTTTACATGTTATGTTTTGCTCAATAACCCTTCACAGAAACGTGGGAAAAGGAAGCATCCTGTCAATTGGTAAGCCACCTGCTGCCATCATGCCCAAGAGAAAGGTCAAAGGAGATGCTAAAGGTGATAAAGTCAAGGTGAAGGATGAGCCACAGAGGAGATCAGCAAGGTTGTCTGCTAAGCCTGCCCCTCCCAAACCAGAGCCCAGGCCTAAAAAGGCTCCTGCAAAGAAAGGAGAAAAGCTGCCTAAAGGGAGAAAGGGGAAAGCAGATGCTGGCAAAGATGGGAACAACCCTGCAAAAACCCAAGAGGCGTCCACAGTCCAGTCACAGAAAGCAGAAGGCACTGGGGATGCCAAGTGAAGTGTATATTTTTGATAGCTTTGTACTTAGTAACTCTACCATTGAAATACTGTTGTCATTTTAAAAAATTTTATAAAAAAGTTAAATTTTGGGTTTTTTTCAAATTTATGTTATTAGTACACAGAACACTTTGTTGTTGTCTTTTGTGGAAAGGGAAAACACCACTAATAAAGTGTGTCTCAGAAGCTGAACTGAAATGAGAGAAACTAGAATTTCCTATCTTGGTCTTTGAAGATTGTCCTCAGTTCCTGGGAAAGAGTCTCTTAAGAGTCTCTCATTTTAGCCATTGACAAATAAGCCTTACAGTGTGGGGGGCAGAACTTGACTTTTCTTTCATTCCATGAGCATAGGTCATACCTGCATTGAGCCGGCAGTCTTGATGTGGCCTTGGCACCCCTGAAATCAGCCGTGTTAGGAACAACACTCAAGCTTTCTAATGATATCAAGCTGGTGTAGCTCAAAAGAGCGAAGATTCTGGCTTTTAGTAGAATCATCCTGATGAGTGAGAATCCTGAAGGTTTTAGTCCATTTCTTCTATTGCTTGTGATAAGCAATTATATGTTTGCTTCATGTGGCATGCCCCGCCCCCCACCCCCCACCCCTTCAGTAACCTTGTCCTGTTCCAAGCAGCAACAAAGGACTTTTTGTTGTCTTTGACAGTGATATTATGGGAAATTGGAGCTTTGAAGATATAAAAACTTGTCCAAAGCCAGGCACCGGTGACTGATTCCTACAATCCTAGCTACTCAGGAGGCTGAGATCTGAGGATCAGGGTTCAAAGCCAGCCCGGGCAAGACAGGCCATGAGACTCTTATCTCCAATTAACTACCAGAAAACTGGAAGTGGCTCAAGTGATAGAGCACTGGCCTTGAGCTGAAGAGCTCAGGGACAGTATCCAGGCCTAGAGTTCGAGCCCCACAACCGACCAAAAAAAAAAAAAAAAAAGTTGCCTAAGTACTACAGGAAGTAACTTCTGAAAAGTATCTTACAAAGCTCAAAACAAGTTGGATTGTGGGGAGGGATATTATTTCTATACTCAAAGTTGAGAAATATTCTTTACTGCCTTGTAAAAGTTGATAGTTTTTCCTTTTTATACTTCTTTAGAATACTTTTTCTTGATTTTGTGCAAAGTGTGAAGTAAAAATTCAATTTCATAATTTTCCATATGATATTAACTGAAAAGTTCATGTTTCCCCTTACTGATCTTTTGTAAATCCACTTTCTATGTAATTATGAGTTTGCTGATGGTTCCTATCTAGCTCACTGCCGGCCAATTTGTCTAATCTTGTCTAATCTCACTCCTAATTATTACAGCTTTAAAAAAATCTTAGCAAAAACCAAGATGCAGGAAATAAGGGCACTGGTGGCTCATACCAATAATCCTAACTACTGAGAAGGCTGAGATCTGAGATCATGATTCAAAGCCAACCTGGGTAGGAAAGTCCCAGAGAATCTTATCTCCAATTAACCCCCAGAAAACCGGAAGTGATTGAGCTGAAGAGCTCAGGGATAGCACCCAGGCCCTGAGTTCAAGTCCTGCAACTGACAGAAAGCAAAAAAAAAAAAAAAACCAGAAAAGAAATGTATTCATTACTTGATTTATGAAACAATAATCCTTTGTACATCATCTTCGTAAAAACAATAAAAAAGATGTCTGTACATTTTTATCACAATGTTAACCAGTTCTACCTTTAATGTCACTATCAAATTTTTCTTCCTAAGGAGTATGTTGGCAATTTTACTTGCTCTTCCATACTACTTATATTAGATTAACAAATTCTAACTCATTACTTAGAATAACAAGTTCTAAATCACATGGAATTTTGATAGATTTTTTTTCTGAACTTATAAATTGGTGAGCCATGTCATTTTTATAATGTTGAGTCTTCCAATATATGAACATGGTAGAATGCTCTAAGCCTTTTAAATCTTTAAATAAATTTAATAAAATATATAATCCATAAATTCCTGTGTTAATATTTCCTGGAGAGTTTATACTATTTGATGTTATATCTGATACATATTACTTTTTTTTTTGCGTTAAGCTAATTGCTGATTGTACTTTGTGTATCTAGCAACCTTACTAAACTTTATCTCTGTATTCTTGTGAGCTTCTACTCACAACCATATATTCTTTGTATATCAATTAGTTTCAGTCTTTATACTTTGTTTTCTTTTTTCTACTGCTCAGTATACTCCAGGTGCTAGAGATACAGTAGTTAACAACAGTGTCCCTGTTTTTTTGAAGCTTATGTTCCAGATGGGAGGAAGGTGTAAAGAACATTTACAAATTTATGTGAAAAGGGTCCTTTATTAAAGCCACTGTTGCATATACTAAAACTAGCATTATATAATATTTTTTTTTTTTGTCGGTCGTGGGGCTTGAACTCTGGGCCTGGGCGCTGGCCCTCAGCTCTTCAGCTCAAGGCGAGCGCTCTACCACTTGAGCTACAGCACCACTTCCGGTTTTCTGGTGGTTTATTGGAGATAGGAGTCTCACGGTCTCTCCTGCCCGGGCTGGCTTTGAACCGCGATTCTCAGATCTCAGCCTCCTGAGTAGCTAGGATTACAGGCGTGAGCCACCAGCGCCCGGCTTATAATATTTTCCTTTATAATAGTGAGTTTCTGGAAATTCTACTTAAACATTGTTTTACCATCTTTTCTGTGTTCAATTATCCCTACTCAGTAAACAACAAATACATACTTGTATTTATATACGATGTGTTTGAGTAAGTTAAGAAACTTCCAAGACAGCATTAGGAAACCATCAAATAGAATGACAGTACTCTATAAACTAAACAATAGTAATTTCTAGTTAAAAAGGGCAGTAGTGAAATGGCAGTGGAAACATAGTTATGGAAGTTATGATTTTAGTTTTTCTCCAGCAACACAAATTTTGATTTCTGCTTAAGGATCATAATGGGGTGTGTGTGTGTATGTGTGTGTGTGTGGCAGTACTGGAAGTTCAACTCAGGGCCTGGGTGCTGTCTCCTGTCCCTGATCTGTTTTTGCTCAAGGTTAACACTCTAGCCCTAGAGCCACAGCTCTACTTCTGACTTTTTGAGGTTAATTGAAGATAAGAGTCTCTGGACTTTTCCTGCCTGGCTTCAAGCCACAACCCTCAGATGTTGTATTTTTGAAGGGGGAGATAGATAGAAGGATAGACTTACAGTGTTCTATAGCACAGATAAGTTGATAATCTTTAATTTGATATTTCAAAATAATAGGATTTTAATGTTCCTAACAGAAAGAAGTGGCAAAATGTCTGAAATGATCAAAATTCCAATTACCCCATCTAATCATAACACATTGATGTGCATTTCCTGAAATGTGACTTATAAATATCTACAATTATGTGTCTACTAAGAATAAAAATATACCTACACAGGAAATATTCCTGAGGTGAGGAAGATTAAATTAGGAACATAAATCTCCTTTCATATCTCTTTGATCAATAGTCCTATCTGTAAACTCATAATTCACATCCTGGCTTATAATCACCAGGTACTTGTTATGAATCAACCTGAAGAGATCCAGAGTTTTTAATAATTAAATTCTAAAATGAATTAGATTAAAAAAAAATTAGTGACCTATGCATCTCAGGCACTGGCCCTGGAGGAGTTAAAGAGGGAAGGAAACCTATCTTTCTGTATCTGTCTTTGTCCCACTCCATTTTTTTTCCCCCTCAACTCTGGTTACAATGATCCTGGTAAAATCCTGACACTCCTGTCTCAAAATGCTCCCATGGTTCATCTTAGCTCATAAAAATGGACCCATTCGCTCCTTTCTTGAGTTGCCCCAGGGTGCAGTGGGAAAAACTGTCTCCTTCAGGCTAGATCTCTTCTCTCCTCTAGGGCACTGGCAGATCTAGACCTCTGGATGTGACCTCGGCGGATGACTCTGGTTGGCGTCCTGGTTCCCTAGTTTGATAGGAGTGGCTAGGACTCTGACTTCTCCCCAGGTATTATTGCTTCTCAGCCCCATCAGAAACGTGAATCAGGTTTCATTGCCTGGTAACGCCAAGCACTCTTCAGTGGAGTTACAGCAGAAGGCACACCAGGGAAACGGTAGTGTTTGGGGTGAGGGTTAGGGTGGGGGATGTCTGCGGGCCGTCTTAAGTTTTAAAGTTCCAGGTAACCCATCAGGATAATACTCCAGGGTCCTTTTCAAGAATCATACTTTTAAAAAATACCAAGAATTTTAAAGAAGACAATTATACTTGAAAAAAGTAATCAAACAAGGTACAAGTATCTGTGTACTTCATTAACACATTGATATCAAACACCGAGACTTTTCCTAGAACTATCTTACTCCATATTTGTGAACTGTATTGTGGAATAAAAGGTGTGGTTGTTTTTGGTAACAAAGAGGTAGGTACTTCTCTTTGGACTGTGGTTTTTGTCTTAAATTCATAAGCGAAGGAAACATTAAATTTCATTACAGGATAAATATTTTAAAATTCCCTCCCTCCCCCGCATCCAGCTTCACCAGCCTCAAAGTTAAGAAACACCACGAAATTTCCCAATAATTCTCCACAATAAATTTTTTGTCAGTAGTTTTTAGGTTTTTGAAGATATCCAAGGTAATGAAGATAAATGGTTTAGAGATGGGTTTAAAGACAGGACAAAGGACTAGAGATGAAGAGAATAGTGAGAAATGGAAACAATGTTTATTTGTTTAATCTGTTGTTAGTTAATGGCTGACTAATATATAAATTGTTTGCCTGTAGAAATTGGATATGAAAGGGAGGGAGGGAGGGGATGGTAGGGGGAAAACAATGGAGGGGGTAACAATGTTCAAGAGGAAGTGTACTCATTACCTCACTCATGTAACTGTGACCCTCTGTATAGTATCTTTACAATAAAAAAAAAGAAATTGGATATGATAAACAGTAGATATGTGCAGATGCTATACTGCTATACCACATATATCATATATAAATACATACAATATATAGGATTCTGCCTAATCAAGACCTAATAGAAGACACAATTCCTAAATTTCATACACACACACACTACATTTGGGCATTTTCAAAAATTGATCTGTTGCTACGATTTTTGGAAGTAACTTAAACACATTTTGGACCTCAATGTAAAATGAAAAACAGAAGGAGCTGTTCAGTTTAGTAGGTGCTTGGTTTCAGCTGCTTTTGAAGAAAAGGAAAAAGGAAAGAAATAATTCTTGAGGCTCACTCTCCTTTTTTGTCTGGCCATATTTTCAGGTAGTTCTCTCCCTAATATCCTAAGTTTTTGACAAATATCCAATGACTAGATAGGTCTCATTATATTAGGATTTTTTGTGCAGCTAAAGGACATTTGAACTTCAATGCTCACATATTTAAATTTCAGAAGGGGGCGTGGGAAGGAGAAAGGAGTAAGCCAGTTTCGAAGAAGTGTGGAGATCAGTAAAGACTTTATGGAGGCACTGGGGATGTA